CGCTATATCCCTGAAACAAAAAACATAAGTATTAATAATTATGCATATAAATTTATTCAACAATTTTTTAGAATAAAGTCTTCCAAATTATGCTGTTGTTTGCAGCAGTTTTGATAAATATCTTTGTTTTTAATCCAATAATGATAATCAAATAGGGGAGCTCAAAAGAATATGTATTCTAAGTATATGTTTAACTATTATTATCAACGTAATTTTTTTAGTTTCTGGCATCTCCACAGCTAAAAACAAATTATCAAAATTCAGAAAAGGCCCTATCAATCAAACAATAATCGACTGAATCAAGAAATAATCGATTTTGATTAATAATAATAAATCAAATTATTTACGTTTTGTCTGTCCTTCTTCTTGCCTTTATTTATCTTCTCTCTCTGTCTCTCTCTAGATTATTTTGCCCTTTTTTCTTGTCTTCTTTCCATATTATTTCCTATATATTATTAATTAAAATTACTATATATTATAAATAAATTTTATTACTATGTATTGTATAGGGTGTTCCATTTTAAATTACACACTTGAATATCTTGTCAGGGGAGCCATCAATCCGAAAATAACCCTTATAAAAGTTGTTCAGAGGGAGACATCGGATGGTGATTTTCAATTTCACCTTGACCTTGACCTTCAAGGTTATTTGAAGGTCAAATCGAATTTTTAAATAGAAACCTCTATTTTATACCCCAGATTCGGAAAAAGCGCAAAATTTTACGTTTAGATGAGTGCTTGAGGCTCCGGCACGTTCTTCACAATTACATTAATTTTTTTTGTGCTAATAACGTTTAGGGATAAAAATTCAAAATATGAGAACTTGTATATCAAACTCACAGTGCTAAACCCATTTTTATAAAATTTAAACGTCTATGTAAATTCAAATCTTCGTTGAAACACAATCAACGTGGGCCCTGGACATCGATGTATGTATTATGTCAATGACTAAACGCAGGCTCTGGTATAAACAATTTTATTTTATACGAATGACTACTAATTCAAATATCTTAAAAAACAAACCACAATCAATTTTGGTTTTCAAATCATGCTAGAATTGTAAGCGATTCGACCTTGAAATGATCTTTAAAGGTCATATAGACTCTTAACATAACTTTAAATTTCTATTTAAAAAATTCGATTTGACCTTGAAGGTCAAGATCAAGGTGAAATTGAAGGTCACCATCCGATGTCCCCCTCCGAACCCAACAACTTTTGTAAGAGTTATTTGGATTGGTGACTCCCCGACAAGATATGTATTCAGGTGCGTAATTTCAAATAATTTGTCCTTGAAATAAGCTCTGAAGGTCATTCCAAAGAAGAGCCTCAAGCACCCATCTAAACGTAAAATTTTGCGCTCTTTCAGAATACGGAAATTTAAAATTTAAAATTTAATATTATATATCTAATATTACTTATTATTTATTATTATTTATTTATTATTTATTTATTACTTTTAAAGAAATGTGAAAAAAAAGAAGTCAAGTGCACGTGCGTTAGCATTAACTTCACAAAAAAGAAACGTTATAAATTAATTTACAATATCCAAGTCAAAAGCCCTTGGCGTGCCTTTTTCTATAGACAAACGGTACTCTTATTTTAATGAAACCTATGCAGCAGTTAATATAAATAAAACAAATTTAAAAAAATTAAATAAACAATACTAAATTACAGCTGGTGTAACGTCCAGGCCTCCAAAAACTTTAAAACTTTCGCGTCACTATAATATTAAAAGGCCATAGTGGCCATTGGCCGATTTGTGCTAACTGAGTAATAACATAAGTAGTATTTTAAGCGAAAACCTATTTTAACAGCGGATTTAATAATTCAATTGTTAAAAAGGGCCGAGATTAAATTATAAAGTCGTCAACAGTACAATAAAAGCACTCTAGTATGATAATATATCATTGCAATTAATGGGGAAGTATAAAAGGCCATACATAACAACAGAATTATTAATACAATTAGAATAATATAAAATATTCGCGTTGCGAACTCGCATGGACACGAACGAACGATAACAAAATGATATCATCGCGTCGCTATGCATCACGCCACCGTGCATCACGTCATTCAGCCACCCGCAT